CCCCTGTCCCCCCCTCTCCCCCACTGCATATATCGCATTGATGCAGCCACCCGTCAGTCAGTCATTTTCGCCGCCCCCTGTGTGTGCTGTGTGTGGTGGCGGGACCGGTGCGAATGTGTGTGATGGATCGGATGGATGGATGGATGGATAAGCTCTGTGAGTGCGGCGGGGCGGGCTGTCATTCATTGTGGCCCGGCCTGCGGATGGAGACATGCGTGTCGGTGGCCACGGGGTGTAGAGTACATTGATTGATTGGTTGGTGGACAAAAGATATGGATGGATGGCATCGATGGATGGATGGATGGATCGGACTGTCCACGCACGTGAGTCGGTCAGTCAGTCATTTGTTTGTGTGAGCCATGCCTGGAGACAGACGAAGAGCCGTCCAATGGGGCCCAACCACCGATCGGTGGCCCCAGTTCGGCCTCTCACCCCCCTCCCCTCCCCCCGTTGGGAAAACATGGGGAATGAGCAGTGTGCGCCCTCGAGTGTGGAAGCGGCCGAGTGGAGCGAATGGAGCGAATGCGCAGCGTGTGTTTCACAAAACAAAAGAAGGAATCCGATGCAGACAGACATGATGGGATCAAGGTCTGGGGTGTATGGGTGTGTGAATAACTGTGCAGGTGCGAGGGTCAGCACAACAGGACCAAGTTGGCAGGCACGTGTGGGCTGTGCCCCAGGGACCACCCATTCCCTTTCGAATTCGGCAAAAAGTGGTGCAAACATGAACTCAACCCGGTCCGTAGCATATATACGTGGGCACACACGCAGATCCCCAGACCCTCCCGAGTGTCAGCCGTCAATGTGTGTGTGTGTGTGTGTGTGTGTGTGTGTAGAGCACTGGCGAGCGGCTGCAGTTCGACGCGTCAGTGCAGGACAGCTGTCAGGACAGGGAGAGTGTGGCCTGCGATGAGAGCAGGAAGGAGTCGGCCCACTGCACTGAATCCACACGTACGGACGTCCTCTCTTGCATACCCTGACTGACTGTGGCTGGCGGACACATTGACGGATGTTGATATCCTTGTGCCTCCGGCCATGCATTCCATTGCATGCCATGGTCTGGTCTGGTCTGGTCGGTTTACTTGCTTTCCAGGAGGAGCCGTGCAGAAATGAGACGCTGTGTGCAGGTAAGGTACTTACGATGACAGAGACAGACGCCTGCTTGCATGCTCTTTCTTTCTTTCTTTCTTTCTTTCGGTCAGCTGAGTCCGCCGGGGGCGTCATCGATGGTGAGCCACATCCACGACGGCCGCATATACAGCGATGGATGGGTGGACCGAAGGATGGCTTCTGTGTGTGCAGAGGATTTGACAGAGGAGGAGACATCATCCCCCACAACACCATTCCCGGCAGTAACCACACCCACACCCACACCCACTCCTACACTCAACGCAACCATACAGCCACACACACAAAGTAAGTAACTATGTCGATCGCAGGAAATGACACACACGATGCACGCTGGTGGATATGGGTTGACAATGTGGCCGGTGCTGGCAGATGTGACGACAGTGTCACCACAGCCGTCGAGGAACGACACGGCCGGTGAGTCTCAGCCGGGGGCGGATGGCGGGCAGGGAGGGGGAGGGGGAGGGGGAGGAGACGTCCTCATCAGCAGGGGGCTCATGACCACTGAGCCTCTTTCGCTGCTCCTGTGGTTTGTACTCTTGCTCTGTCTGTTCACATGGCTGAAAGGACGCTGAGAGCACTGACTGCGGCAGGTAGGTCTTGGACTCTTTATGCATGTCTGTGTGTGTGTGTGTGTCTGTGCATGTGAATACGGAAGGAAATAGGACTATTTCGATTTAGCGTTGAATGCATGTGTGTCTGTGCCCGTAAGAGAGAGATAGCTTCAGTCTCATCGCACGTTCGCTCTTTGATGTCTCGTGTCTCGTCCATTCATCAGTCCATCCCACCATGCACCCACCACAGCCAGGCCATGCATGACAGTGACAACAAAACCTTCACGGCACTCCACGCCATACCAGTGGCTACTACCTGTTGGTGGGAGGGAGACGGGAGTGTGATGTCATCTTGTGTATCTAGGGAGGGGAGGGGAGGGGGCAAATGATATAAAGTCTGGCGGCAGGTACAGGCAGACGGCACGCAACTCACTGGGGAGAGGAAGGGGGCAAAGGGGGCAAAGGAGCAGGGCACGAACCATCCATCCATCCATCCATCCATCGATTCAATGCACTTGGACAGTCTCCAGGCTCGCCCTCGCCTATAGAGCAGTCCGAGCTTGTTCCTCTTTCGACGCAATCGCTGGGTTGGTGGTTGAATAGATGTGATCAGTGTTCACTTCGGCACGGGGCCGAGGAGTTTGATGGGGTCTCTGGGGCCCTTGGCGTTCTGGCGCTTCTTCATCAGCAGGTAGGTGTCCCACACCTCCTCGTCGTCCTCAGGGCCCTTCGACGGCGGGCTGGGCGGGGGCGGCAGAGGGCCCGATCGATGCATCTTATAGTTGCGCTGCTTCTTCCTAAGCAAGTATGTGTCCCAGGCCTCGTCATCGGTCTGGTGTGAGAGGATGTCTCCGTGTAAGAGGTTTGTATATGTGCGAGTGTGTGATTGTCTCTCACCCAGTCGATATCGATGGTCGGGTCGATGGCAGGGACGGCTGGGACGGCGGGGCTGTTGGGCGAGTGCGTGCTGGCCGCCGAGGCACCTGCCCACACAGACAGACAGACAGACAGACAGGGAGAGGGAGGGAGGGAGGGAGGGGTATGGCAACCTTCCAATGAGACACCACCATGCATTGCAATGCAAACCCTTGCTCCCTTCCCCTGATTCTATATACCCTGGGGAATCAGGAATGCCATGACCGTCAGGCACATGATCTGCCGCTCAGCGGCGGTGTACTTGGCCATCAGTGCCGTGTCCAGAATAGCGGTGGTGGCAGAGGGCTTCTTGGGAGACGACGAGGCCGACGACGACATGATGTGATAGCGAGACACAACCTGAACCAGAACTCAGGAAGAAAAGTCTTTGGCGAGCTCATAAATGAGCGAGTTTTTTCGTGGACCTTCTCGTCTCTTGTACCTACCTGAGAGATGAGACAGAGAAGGACGATTCCACCAGTCGCGCTGAGACAACCAACACCTTCACGCCAAAAATGTTCCCTGCTTTTTCCTTCGTCAGACGTTGAGAGCTCATCGAAGGGAAGCGACCTATGCGACAAAATCGCTAAACGAATGTGCCACTTTCGCGAGAAACGGTGTGATATATCTTCGAATCCTAAAACCCCCCATGATTGAGTTGGTGATTTCTCGGCTGTTTCTCCTCCTTTTCGGATGAGCGAGCGTGTATCGGACTACACCCAACCCCCTCCACCT